TTTCTTATTGGGGGGTTTGAAGGGTGCTTTTTTGTTTTTGCCAAATGTAATACGAAAGCAGGTGCTGCAGTTTTAGCTGGTGATGTGAATTTAGTTTTATTTTTAATTGACATATTGCTTGCTTTCTATGCTTCTGTGACTTTTTTCTTTAACGTTTTGTGCAACTGAAGAGTTTGCATTGAAAATTAAAATGTAATAGGGTATAAATAGGTGTGCAATTGGTCCAGACTTTTGTGATGAGGTTAATGTTCTTAAACAGTAAGCAGTAGAAATTTGAAATATTCAAAATTGATACTTTCCTTTTAGGTGGAAATTCTAAACATTTATAATTATTTTTCTTCTTCATTTCTCTCATAGGGAATAAAGCATATGTAAATTTCAGGGGACTGTCCTTAAAGTCACCATATTGATAACTGGTTTTGACTGTCTCAGAAATTATTTTCATGCTGGAGACTTTGTAAATGAGAGGAATTATGTAAATAGATTTGTTGCTTTGTCGCAAATCCCGCAAGCTTAAAGGAATGGTGATCATCCTGAACGCTTGTATCTTCACTCATTAAAAAAAAGAAATACAAACAAAAATGGTATAGATACAGAGGAATTGGGGCCAGTTCTCTGGAAGCGAACATCTACACTGATTCTGGGTCTAACTTGTAGATTCCAGTAGCACATGATTAAGGGGAATGTGTGAGCATGACCTCTGTTGGTAATAAGTGTGAGCCTTTTATCTACCTACAAAATGGCTGTTTTTTGTAGGTTACTACTATGGTACATGATCTGCAATAATGAACTGGCATGAATTTGAAACAGGTGGACAGCTGGCAGGACAAAAAGCATACAGGAGTAGAGATTCTGACTCTATTGCACAGGATGCTACATCAGAGTTGAAGCTCCTCCACTGGCCATTAGTGAACTACAACCATAAGCAGGCCACCGGAGGACTCTGTGCTGCAGTCACTCAGCTCCAAGGAGAAATAACAATAACTACCTCACAGGATTGTTGTGAGGAAAATGTAGGATGGCTGCAAAAGTGCCCTGAAGAGAAAAACCTCAGAAGGTATGCTTTATAAGAGGATTAAAAACGTATTTGAGAACACAAAAGTCACTCTGTTTTTAAAACCAGTAGCCAGTTCTCATTCCTGCTATTTTATTAAGTGAAATATTAGGAAACTTCCTTCGCCAAGTTTACAACAAAATATATTAATGTATACCCCCCCCTCCTTTGTGTTTAAGCATGCTTGCCTTTTAAGGAACACACCTAAATCTTTATATACCAAATTCTCTGAAAGCTAAAATGTTGTTGTGTAGCATAAGCTTGAAACATTCTGCCCAATGTAATAACCAACTTCCATCTTATAAAAAATAACTTACCGTTGATAACCTGGAAGGCGGAGTGTCTATAAGAGGCTGGTATTTATGGATTAGATCGTGGACGTTTAGTGACATCCAGACATGCTGCTGAAATCGGGGGCATTTGGAAGCTGTAGAAATAATGCAAAACTTGGGTTTCATTACAAAAATCTCGTGTTTTTAAAGTATTTAACTCTGTAGAACCACAATTATGGAAAAGCTCAGTAATGCTGCTAATGATAATTGTAAAATATACCTTTAATGTAGTGCAATATTTTTATATATCCTGGGAGAGGCAGTAAAGGTGTCACAGTTATACTTTAGTGCAAGGGGTGGGGGTGGGGGGCACTCCAAGTAGCCTAGGGCATACATAGGAAGGTGTAAGGCATCAGTGGGAGAAGTTGTATTCTATTACATTTCTGATGTAATCTTGCTGCCATGCTATGTTATCAATAGCTAAAAATTTTTAAAAGAATAAAAACTACCACAGAAAACAAGAATATCTTCATTGATGACACCTGGAAAAGGTGATGGCTGCATCTCTATGGAATTATTGCCTGGTACAATTTGGCTATGCAAAGAAGCTTAACAAAGTTCACTTTTGCTAAATAGAATTTCTATTTTGTGAATAGCCTAAAAGCATCAGTGTTTGGTTTGTGTTTCTTTAAGCTTTGAAATAATCAGGATTATGACTTCCTGCGTTTAGTCAGTAGGAATGTTAAAAATAAACTTTCTACATTGGTTTTAGCGATTGGGTTAGACAGTCAAGCTGAGCAACATTTTAGCATTGTTTTGGGATCAATAGGTTACATTTCCTAATATAAAACTTTACATTCTTCATTACTAAAACCACTTGAAACACTATGTGGCTATTTGTCATTTTAAGAGGAGAAAACACATGCCAAGCATTTCGGAGAGTACTGTCAAGTTCTAAATTAAGACTAACTGGATTTTTTGAAAAATACTTGTTCTTACTAATTAATAAGATAAATAATCTTATAATTAAAAAGTCCCCTAAAAGTCAATAAATTTAATCACTAATTTAAAAATGTATTGTCTTTATTTCTAAATTGATATGTAAGTTATAAGTTTTCCTTTAAAGGGGTTCCAGGAGGGTACCTTGTATATATCCCTCTTTTAAGGTCTGACTAAAACCATTGCTCTCAACTTTCAAAGACTCATACATTTTTAACTTTGAAGGACCCTCCAGGGACCCACTGTCAAAAGTCTGAACATTACAGTTCTTTCCATCAGACAGTTAACTGTTCACAAAGGAAATTTTTCACATAGGAAGAGACATATTTAGAGATGCAAGGATAATTTACTGGGGTTCCACATAGATGACTTGTTGCTAGTATATATTTCAATGTAAGACAAAGTTTACAAAACCAAAATGTATGGCTCAGACTAACTTGGAGTGGATTTTACGTGATGCTTTCAAGCAAAGAATAGCTATTGAATATCCACATTCAAAATGATACCTTCTGATGTATTTTATTCTATAATTAACATCTGGCTTATAAAGGAATACAATCAGGCACAGTAGCATTCAGGAGGTTTATTAAGTAAGTAAACTAGCTAAGGATGGTATAGACATTCAATACAGCATTTGAAAAAAAACATTCATTCGTAGCTACCTCATTAAGATTTTTCTGTCTTAATTTGCCAGGTACAACCCAAAATATGCCTGTGCTCAAAAGAAACCTTCAGAGAGCTGCATGATTTTTGTTCTAAAAAACATGATCTAAAGCATTTTTAAAAGATGTTTTTAAAACCTCTATCTTCATAGTCTTGGTAACCCCAGAATATTAGCAAACAAAAGTCTTAAAATGTTTTCTCCCTCAGATAAAACTGGTGTCTTTTGATCCCAAAACTCTGCTTAAAAGAATATTTTTGATTAAAAAAATTTTTTAAACTAAACCAAAATCTCTCATCCTTTGGGATAGCAGCAGGCATGCTTTTACTAGTCATTCTTGAGGCCTTAAAGGCAAAAATTGTGGATAAATTCTGTGATGTTGGGTGGGGAGAACTACAAACCCTCTGAGAATTGATTTATAACATGTTTTGACTTTCCCCACATGGTGGTAACAATCCTGCCTTTTTCCTTGTAGCCACATGAGTGCCTCCAGTACCACCTTCCAAAGCAGCAGGCCTGTGCCAGTTGCACAGAACAGACGTGCATAGGAAGCTTGTTTGCTTCTAGCTACACACTTGAAACCCAGAGTTCAGATCTCTGCAAAGCCCCATCTAAAATCTTCGTAGAGAATGAAAATGAAAGTATTAGCTACTTTGCTAGACAGTTACATGGTTGAGTCTTCTAGAGTTCTTTGCTTCTTGATGTCTAAGCTAACAAATACAATTCTAGCCAAAGAACTGACATTAGGTCGTTTTTTATGATTACAGAACTAAGGAATTAACAAGTCTATTATTTGAGACATTCCATACTATCTCCACACTCCCGTCATATCGCATACACAATGTAAAGTGACAATGTTCACTAACAGTATTTGCTGCTACACTGAAAAGGCACGTCAATGTTGTCATGCTTAGAAAAACCACATCACACAGTACTGGACAGTAGAGTAATACACAGACATCTTAGATGTTTGGTTTCTCCTGCCTGTGAAAAAGGGTGCCCTGAGCACCCTGTCTTTACCTGTTTGTTTTCCTAATGTGATTCAAGACAATTTCATTCCTCCTTTGTCTTCACAATGATGTAAACAACTTTTAGAAATCTAAAAAGTAATAGTTTCAAATAACTCAAAATTAATAAATCCCTAGGAAGCACTTGGATGACCTCCAAAGAGGTCAAGGATTATCAGAACCTTTTTTTTCCCCACGTCATACCAGCTTTTAAGTTTCTTTTCTAAAAATTGATCTTCATTCAATATACCTTGCTGTGCTTCAACAACCTTGACAGTAAATATCACAGTTTTATCATCCAGTAAGATGATCAAGTAAGTGTCTTAAAAGGAAGCTTCTAGTTCCTAACTCTACATTTTGGGTGCTTTTCTTGACTTTCAGAACATGTTTACTTCTCCCTTACTGGCTTTTACTTAATGCCAACTACCTGACATGTAAACATAGTTTACAGCCATCTGTTTCCAGGTAGATAATGACATAGAAGACCAGCCAAGATTTATGGATAAATCCCAAAGATGACTGATGAGTTCTTGTTCTCTGCATTTGAGATAACTAGCTTGTTGCTCAGATATATTGATTACAGTGATTACAAGTTAACACTTAGTATCACTACATATATATGCTGTCTTGCTTATGTTTTTCTTATTTCTCATTGTCAGAAGTGTCTCAGAACATGTACTTTAGTTTTAAACACTCGTTACCAATATTCAGAAAAAAATAGACTTTTTTTTGCCCAGATGTTCGTGAATGTAAGTTAAAAAAATTATATTTGATTTGGATTCAGATATTTATAGATTTACACTATATTTCGTCAAAATATATTGTATGATATTTAATAAAATCAAATACATAAAATAAAGTTTTCAACACTATTTATACAAACCCCTAGAAAAGCTTCTTTTTCTTTATAAGGCTGTTGGCAATCGATCATAACCATGGAAAAAAAAGAACCTTTGGTTGTCATACTTTTTCAACGGGAATGGATGGTATGACTAAGACGATGTTCAGTGAGTTGTTTGAAAACACTTGACACAAATACTAGGATGAATTTTTTAGGGTTTCAGTCACTTTCAGATTCTTCTTCATCACCTATTGGGTACGACTGGATATTATTCTGAGTATACATTTTTGTTTTAATGTGACAGTTGTGATCCATGAGAATAGCCTAGAAGAGAAGAAAGTGCACATTAACTTGTTTCATAGAGGGAAGATGGTCTGATCTACTGTTTTTAAAGGATTACTAACTAATGTAAAGATTGTCTTGGTACTACCCACTGTCACCCAATCACTTGGTGCCCTTGACAAGTAGCTGGCTAGGAGACCTGGTGATCTATACTTAGAAAGAATTCAACAAAAGGAGATGGTAGAAGGACCAAAGATTAATTGGCAGCAAAACTGTGCTAAGAAAAACTTGCTGGTTAGGTTTTAGAAGGAAGATATTTAGACTTTGGAACTGGAAGGATTCTGGACATCAGCCAATCCAAATTCTATTCACAGAAGTTATGTTAACACCCATAACAAGGACATGCTAACTCCCAGTGAGATGCACCCTCCATATGGAAGTGTGCCCGAGACTGGATTCTGACCTGTTTCTGTTGGTTCTGGTACCATCTTCACAGACTGACCTTAGAGCATTTTAAGATACGTGCTATGGCCCCTTAGGTTTCTAAGACTAAACATCACAGGGCCTTTTACAGAGCCCCTGACCCCAAATCCTGACCACCCTTACTCAAATCCCTGGACCAAAATGATACAAAGTACATTCCTCCTGAAAACATGAAAACCTTATTAGTGAAGATTAAGCAACCACAGCATGAAGCAATGCTTTACATAGGGGCTCTGCTGATAAGCACTTGTTACTCCTCCTGAGAATAGAGACCAAACATGCAGTCTGACAATACATGACATCTACATTGCCAAGATCATGCCATGCATTTTTCAGTGTGGTACCCCAGCATCACAACCTTATGTGGGATAAATTGGTACCCTAAGAGCTCTAGCTTCGCATGGGGAAGTAAAGCTAGAGTTAGTAGGAAGGCACCCAGGAAGCCTTACAGCAAAGTCAGCTTTTGAAACACTTCGGTGTGGTTGGGTGAGTTCAAAGGATGCCAGTGGGACAATGGGGTACAACTAAACTGAATCCCCTCACCAACTTGTCTTGGACTCCCCACCCGAACCCCCAGCCCACACCCCGTTTGAATTCTTTAACCCTGTTAGCTTTGGGTAGAAACTGAAAATGGTAGTCAGGGTTAAAATTCATTCCTATTGAGCCAATTGCCACCTTTCTTGGTGTCTCCCAGAGATCTGATAAGGTGCTCAATCCCAAGGAACCCTGAAATGAGCTGCCCACAGGACTTTCTCTAGGTGCCAGCCACTAATGGCCCTCCACATTTTTTACTGTTTCTCCAAGGTGAGCAAATACATGCATCAAATAAAGACCTCAATTTCTGAGTCACCGAGGCATTGTACACAGCCACTACCCTCCCCGGGGAGAGGGGTCCCCCGCTCAACCCCCAAGATCAGTGAGCCTCAATGAAATCACGGAGGGTCCTCCTGATATGATCTGGCAGGGCTGGTAGCACGATGTCTGAGAAATAGCCCTTGTTACGGGGCATTACTGAGGCCCACAGCAGAGTCTTCAGAGGGTGGTGGCCTGTGGGCCCCCACTGGGTGTGTCTGTCAGCGGTGGAGCCCCCCTACCGTGCTGGGCTCCAGGCTCACAATAGAGCTCCCCATGGGAGTGCTCAGGGAAGCTACACAGAAAAGAGGGAGCAGGCTGGGACCTTGAAGGGAGAAAGGAGCAGCAATGGGCGGACTGGGGACAAGTAGGCTATGGATTTTGCACCACCTGGGAACATTAAGACAGGGCCACTGTCAGCTAGAATAGAGAAGAGGTAACTAAGACAATGATGGTTGTAGGAATCATTTGGGATGGGAGATGTGTGCTGAAAGTAGATAAAAGACCAAACGTGATAGCCTCTTAGTATCTGTACTGCAAACCATAATGCCCAAAAGTAGAGAGTATAGGGGAAATTGCCATGGAGTCGGGGGAGGGTTAGAAAGGAAGGTGGGGGGTGGGTATACTGGGAACATTGGTGGTGGAGAATGTGCACTGGTGGAGAGATGGGTGTTTGATCATTGTATGACTGAAACTAAAACATGAAAGCTTTGTATCTCATGGTGATTCAATTTAAAAAAAAAAAAAAAAGAGGACCTCTGAGTGTGCCAGCCTGGGCACCATTGGAAACCATTAGGTATGATGAGACCAACCAATCAGAAAGCCCAACAGAGTCCAACGGCAGTCAGGAATGCTGAGCACAGGAGCCTGACCCTGACAGGGCCCGCAGGCACCAAGGGGGCCCTATTAGACCTCACTGGGATCACCCTCTCAGCCCCAGTCCATCCACTATAAGTGCTGACTGCGTATATGTCAGCTTCCTAAGGACCTCGCACTGCAGCCCAGGGTACTCAATCCACACTTAACTAGGAGCGTTGCAAGAGAAGGTCAGTCAGCCAACTGGACCACAGTGAGGGGAACTGAGCAACTCTGCTGATACAACCTATCTATCCATTTTGGAAAAAAAGAGCCCGTCCCCCATCACCCTAGAAATTCCAGAGGGAGTTTACTATCCCAGAGTGCCTTAGAGAGAAGCATGAGTACACCACGTGGTATCAGGGAGAGGGGCCAGGGGGAGAGTTGTGCTTTAAACCAAGTTCCCCCAGGTACTGCTGCAAGAGGAAGAAAAAAAGATCAGCGTCCGCTGATGACAGCCCAGAGCCTGGTTCCTGAGAGCAGAGGAATAGTTCATCAGACACAGAGCAAAGTCTGGCTCCACCAATACCTGTCGGAGCAAACAGTATACATGTGCTGCGGAGACTCAGCAGGGATTTTGAAAACACCCAAAGCAAGGTTTCCACTTCAGCCCTTGAGATAAAGACAGCTAAGCTGTGTGCTAGAACACTTCATTTAACCTGCTTTAGCAAGAATTAGTGGTGCTCTTACGTGCCCTGCAAGAGAAGTATGCTTTTAGGAATTATAATCTGCAAGAAGAGATGTGCCCAGGCACATCTCTTTGATTCCACTGTTCTTCCTGCATTAACATATGCCTCAGAGACCTGGGCCCTACGCAAACAAGATGAGAACGCCATTCAGGTCTCCCAAAGAAGAATAGAAAGAGCTATGCTTGGAATTATCACGTTTCACTCAAATGAGAGAACGAATCCGGAGTTCTGACATCCGTCGACGATCAAGGATCAGGGACGCTGTCTCATTTGCCAAGGTGTCGAAAATCAGATGGGCTGGTCACGTAATGAGATTTAAAGACGACCGCTGGACTAGAGCTGTTACTGATTGGATTCCACGGGATGTCAAGAGACCGCGTGGCCGCCCACCTTCCAGATGGTCAGACTTCTTCGTGAAGATCATGAACGATCGGTTTGAGGCCCTTCATGTTCCCGGAGCGAACAGATGCCATTGGGCTACACTAGCACGCGACAGGGACAAATGGAGACGTTACTGGCGCCCGCTCGAGCAAATCGACGACTAACGGGAAGTTAAGTGATTAAGTGATTAAGTGAATCTGCAAGAACACAGTCAATCTCCTCAGCTTCCAGCCCACACAGCCCAGCCAAGGCAACCAGCCCCTGGGCAGCAATGAACACTCAGGGCCATCTGGCCTCCCAACAGCCCACCCACCCTGTCTGGTCAGAAAAGAGAAACCTGAAGAAGAGGTAAGGAGTACCCTGCCCTGTAGGGTGCTCTTCTTGCAAGCAGCTTGCCCAGGTTCCATCCAGTCCCCCCCCCCCCCCCGGCCCTTCCCCCAGCTCGCCAGGAGTGACTCTGGAGTGCAGAGCCACGAGTAAGCCCTGAGCACTGCTGGGAGTTTCCTCTACAAAAACAAATTCTTCTACCTGAAACCCCCAGGCCAGAAACAGTTGTTCCCAGTGGGTTTCTTGCTACATGTAACTCATAGAACTGAAACACACTTTCCTCAAATGTGTGTTGCTCTTTCTCAGACTTGCAGAGAGACTTAAGAAATGAACCCGCTTTTTTTTCCCCCTCTCTCACTATTGTAATCTGGGTTCGATTCCTCTGGGTTCCATTCCTCTGTCCCTCTCAGAGAGCCCAGCAAGCTACTGAGAGTATCTCACCCGCACGGCAGAGCCTGGCAAGCTCCCCATGAGTATTCGATATGCCAAAAACAGCAACAAGTCTCACAATAGAGATGTTACTGGTCCCCACTCAGGCAAATTGATGAGGAACCAGGAGGACAGTGCTACAGACAAGTGCTACTATTGTAATCACCACTGATGATTTTTTTTTTCAAATAGAAATCCAGCCCAAACCAAGAGCTCATGTTATCTCTAGCTGATGCACCTAGGACTGGGGTTTAGAAAAGTGCTGACGCTTTCAACATCAGAGAAGCTTTAAGTCCCAACACCCCAGTCTCTGAGAGCCGCCTGAAAAGTTGGAGTCAGCCTTGCTCTGCTCTCTCTGCCCTTCATTTCATAGCCGCGCCCCAGAAAGTCGCGCCTTGTCTGCACTGGCTTTCCTCAAGCGACATAATCAGCTCTTTCTCCTCCAAGGCACACGCTGCCTGGCCTCGCTCCTGTCACCAGGCTTTTGCCTTCCACCTGCCCCACCCCTACCCCTGGCCTATGTAACCAGCGACAGGCTACCACAGCTGGCTCTCACCTCACATGTGACCAGTTTACCAGCCCAGGCATCTCTGACGAGATGCCTTGGATGAGGGGCATCCATGACCTACAGCAAGAGCACATCTTCCCAGGTTCCGAATGACTTCCTCTTGCGAGCCCCTGCTCGGGGAGTCTGGTAGCAAAGTGACTTTCTAGAAGCCTACATTTTGGGGTCACTTTGCCTTTCAACACTGTCCCTCCCAGACCCTTCAGTTTTTTTGTTTCAGAATGAGCTGGAGCACAGCGTAAGGGTGGAAAGAAAAGAAGGCCTGAGCCCCTTCTACTCGTCATTCTGAGTCCTGGGGTGGTGGCCAGCTGGGACCACCAGCCAGCACATCCTCTGGCCTCATTGATGTCCTCCCGGGCCCCAGGCGAGCCACTGGCATGCTGCGAAGCCAGCAGGTCTGCCTGGTTGGGGTGAAATGAGTCTCAGGTCTTGCCAGCCAATAGCTCAGTGGCTAGCTGACGCCGGTCTCCAAGGTCTGCTACTTGGGCAGGGCTGGGGTCTGGACAGTCAAGAGCAGCTCCTCACATGGAGCTGGAGTGATAGCACAGCGGGGAGGGTATTTGCTTTGCACACGGCTAACCGGGGTTCGATTCCCAGCATCCCATATAGTCCCCCAAGCATCGCCAGAAGTAATTCCTGAGTGCAGAGACAGGAGTAACCCCTGTGCATCGCCAGTAACACCTGTGCATCACCGGGTGTGGAAAAAAAATAAAGCAGCTCCTCACCTCACGGAAGAGGCGAGAGCCCAGGGAGCACTTAGGGAGAACAAGAAGAGTGGGGTGACCATGCAGCCGAGCATGTGGCAGCCTCAGCTTCAGTCCTCCCAATATCCCTGAAGGGTACGACTGTCACTTCCAGCACACCCTCCACGCTCTCCCAACAGTCAAGCCATCGCCTGGTGGACTAAAGCTATTTTGTTTTGCTTTTGTTATTTTCTTTGCTTTTTATCAAATGCAAATTTTAGGGTCCAATTTTTATTGAGAAATAAACTTTGTTCCACCTCCAATGACAGAATTCTGAGGTGTTGCACTGTGAACGTCTGACTTTCATTTGGGTGAAGGTTGTGCTGGTAGCAGCTACACTAAGGTGTACAGGCACCAGGCTAGAGACAGGGAAAGCACCCGGCTAGGTCTGCTCATGTGCCCGGGTACAGAGAAGGCGTGGCCAGGGTGCCCTCAGAACATGCCCACAGCACTGTCTGCTCCCCTTGCACCAAATGGGTCGTGAGCAATTGGAAACAATCTATTTCAGCCATACAAAATAAAGAGCCCAGGGTCAGTGCTCAATGCTGGATACAGATTCTGAATAGGAAGCATGAATGAAAGACACAAACAAGGCCCCCAAACAGAGGCTGGACATGGCCTAACTGCAGGGTCTGTAACTTCTTTAAGTCAACGTCTTGGTGGGGGGCAGTCAAAAGAGGAACATAAATGCTGAAGCACTAAGACCCATTTCAGTTCAACCATCAGAACAAACAGCTTTCTCAAGGGGATGTCTCCAGCAAACCTCAGACCCATCCACAAACACAAATGCCATCTTCCTCGTGTATCTCCTTGTTTATCTCATTCATTCTTAATCCAAGGTACTTGTCTTTCAGCCACATTAGTGTCTGCCACTATCTGATGTCTAAAACATCAGCACTACTACGTAAGAACAGTCATCAGAAAGGTTAAAGTAACATGCCATTTCAAAATTCAAATTTTAGAATTGATAAGTTGGAACTTGTTCAAAAAACATATTTCTTATTCTCACTATTATGCCCTGCCTAATACTATGACTCTGTCATAAAATTCTGAATAAAAGGTAATGTGGGCATACATGTGCTCATATGATAGTTTTATACGGGGACCTTTTTGCTACACTCACTCCTCTCCAGAATCTTAATGACCAAGACACTATTACTGGAAACCATAAGCATCAGGAGCAAAGCAAAGAACACCAAAAATGACTAATCTTAGGAGAGGAGAGGCAGAAAGGAAAATTATGTCCAAGATTTTTCAATAGTCACTGAACACTGAATGGAACTATCCGATCTTTATATTTGGCCAATAAAGGAGCTGTATTAATGACTAATCATCTGTTTAAGTAATTTCATTCTTCAAATGTCTACACAAAATGCTTGATCGAGTGAAAGTAGCAGCTGCCCGAGGAGGTATAAACTTAAAAGGAACTCTTGTTATTCACGTTATCTCCAAAAGGCGCAAAAATGAAATTTACCATTAAACCACAAGGAGACTATCCTGACAGCCAAACTAACATGATCAAGGAATACTTCATCGCACCCTCTCAAATTTTCTTACCATTTTTTCTTCCTTGGCAGGGGGACTTCGAAGGAAAAAGCAGAGAGGCGCAAAAAGAATATCAATGATTCCAATAATTGTCATGAGCCATGGAAATCCAATTGCCTTGGCAATCGCACCACCGGCGGAAGGACCTTTTGGGAAAGAGAAGGTTAGACCCAATGCTCTCCAGATGCCTTGTAGACAGAATACCACCTACTTTTTTTTTGGCTTTTTGGGGTCACACCCGGCAATGCACAGAGGTTACTCTTGGCTCATGCACTCAGGAATTAGTCCTGGTGGTGCTGGGGGACCATATGGGATGCTGGGAATCTAACCCAGGTCAGCCACATGCAAGGCAAACGCCCTATCCGCTGTGCCTTTGCTTCAGCCCCAGAACATCACCTTCTGGCTGCACTCTTGGCAGGCACCATCTGTCATGCAGGAGGTCAAAGATGGTTCTTACCTATGGCATAGCCCATACAAAAGGCCACATCGGCAATGGCATACACACTGCCGTAGACGGACACGTGGCGTAGGTCGACCAGGTAGCCCATGATGGGCATCATGGAGGAGTCCACCATCCCTGTGGACAGTCAGGAAACATGGGTGTGAGCAGGAAGTGGTCTGAGTGGCCGGCACCACCCTCCCCCTCTCATCATCGCTTTCTCCAGGGCTCCAGGCAAACTCCCTGCAACCTGCCTTGCTCTGAAGAGAACACCAGTACTGCAGGCTAGCACTTGCCCTGCCTCACATGAACAGCATGAATTCTGGGGGAGGTCGCCTGGTGGTCTAGTACCTCACGTGCCACTCTGCAAATCCAGTCTGCAGTATAGGGCAGCATGAGCCCCAGGCCTCCTTCCCTGGGGTGGTCCCTCCTGAGCTGACACACCACGTGCCCACCCATCTCCCCATCCATGCTCGCACTTCACTTAGACCAGGAGAATTCAAGTGGAAAGTACCAGAATACCTGACTCTCCACAGGAAACTCAAATCAAAAGCATCTTCTCAGCTGGCTAAACCAACAACTAAACCACTGCCAGCATTAGACTATCTGGTCTCTTCACCACTTGGGGACAAGTGGCAATTAAAAAAAAAATACTGGGGCTGGAGCAATAGCACAGCAGGTAGGGCGGTTGCCTTGCATGCGGCCGACCCAGGTTCGATTCCCAGCATCCCATATGATCCCCTGAGCACTGCCAGGAGTGATTCCTGAGTGCAAAGCCAGGAGTAACCCCTAAGCATCGCCGGGTGTGACCCAAAAAACAAAAAAAAAAATACTTTGTTCAGAACTCTACCTTCCTCAGGGGCCAGGGACAGCTCAGAGACCTTATCTCTAGCTCGCCATATGGAAGGCCCAGGTTTGATCCCCAAAACCACATGGTCCTGGACATCCCCAGGAGCCCCTGAGCATCTCTGGGAGTGTCCCTCAAAACAAACAAGAGAGTCTGGGTTCACTTGTCCAGCCCGGTGAGCAGGCCCCATCTCGTTCCCCCTAATACATGGGGCTGATCACAGCAGCCTAAAATGAAACAGGCCTGTGGATGCCCCCAACTGAGGTCTCACTGTCAGCATCCCACTGGCTCCATCGGAGCAGGTACTGCTGGTCGTTCCCTACAACAAGAAGCCACAGCTTTGGATAAGCAAAACAAACACCAGAGCTGCCCATTCAGCAGAATAAAAGCCTGAACAACAGGCGTTGGAGCAATACTACAGGGAAAAGGGCATTTGCCTTGCACGCGGCTGACCTAAGTTCGATCCCCGGCATCCTATATGGTCCCCTGAGCACCACCAGGAGTAATTCCTGAGTGCATAATCAGGAGTAATCCCTGAGTATCACCAGGTGTGACCTAAAAATAAAAAAAAAAAAACAAAAAAGAAGAAAGAAAAAGCCGGAACTACAATGCAGAGTCATATGCCCAGGGCCCTGTGAACCCAGGGAACCCTCCCTGGGCCTGGCAGGTGGGGGTCAGCACAAGTTCTGTTCTTCCTACAGTGCCCCAATCCAAGTTCAAATCCCTGCTTTTATGCCATGAGACTCAGCACTGACCGTTCCCCATGTGTCCATGACAGATGAGAGACAAGGAGACTGTCCAGCTAGAGTAACATTACTCTCAGTTAACGCTACCAAGGGATCATCATACACCACAGCACCTGTGGCTCACCTGTTCTGCACCAATATGTACCAATATCTCAAAAACATGTGTGTCCCCTGATCTCTGCCTCCCAGCTTCCCACGACAGGGCTGAGCACAGCTCACAGAGCTGAGCCCAAACCAATCTGCTCTAACGGAAGAATTGTCCCATCTGCCCACAGCAGCAGAGAGCAGCTGTGCGTTTCTGTAAACGGCACGTTTGTGCAAACGGTGGTGTGTGGGACAGAAGCAACTAGTCTGGGGAAGCAGCTAGGTAGGTGCCTTCCTGGGGACAAGTGACAGGTTTGTCCACAGCCTCCTCTCAGGCTTCTAGCAATGTTAGGCCGAGTTGTCCTCTTTAGAGGAAGTCTTTCTCAGGAAGGAGGAAAAGCGGGTTGGCTGTTGTTTTTTCTTTTCTCAATATGAACTATTGCATCCAAGTTTTAACTGCAGGCACAGGCTCATGGGACTTACCAATTGCAAACCCCACACCGAAGTTTGGAGCTATGAGTCCATAAATGCTCTTTGCAAAAGGAACCTGGAAGGGGGAAAGAACAGCTATGCTTACCTCTAAATTGCTCTGGAAAGTCAGAAATGGGTTTTCTCAGGGTACCCTAGAATTGCCAGCACCCTCAGCAAGTCTTTCTCCTCCTCCTTCCCCTCTCTCTTCCTAAATAAAACCATTCACTTCAGTTGAAACCACGTATGTTCCCTTCAGAAGGAATCAGGAGGAGGAACAGGGTTTGGAAAGGCGGAGACCCTCTAATTCTTCAGAGGCTACAACTGCTCTGGACCTGTGGACACCAGCCCAGCCTGTCCGCCCCATATCTGAGCAGTAGAGGTCTTGCAGGGGTGGACAGTGGCCATGGGTAGGTGTTTGGTTTGTTTTCTCTCAGCCAAGCTGAATGTCCAAAGAGTTTAAGATACCGAGATGTTTACGATGATGGGGGTGGGGGAGAGGAGGAGGGAGATATAATTTGCAACGGACACAAATACACCCCTGGGAGAATCTTGTCCCCCACATTTTACAGGTAATTTTAAAAATTAGCAGAAAATGGAAGGCTTTAGCAAGACTAAGATCAATAAACTTCAAAGTACAGTCAAGTGTTTCCTAATGCTTCCTGCCCAGAGCGAAATTTTCTCCCAGATTGATTCCCCTCGTCAAATGTCATGGTACTCACACATAAGATGCTGATTCCAACAATTATCATCCCAAGGAGAGCACAGAGCCACCTAGCCACAACAACAACAGAAAAGAAAACAAACAAACAAAAACAAAAGCACCATCCATAAATGACTTCGATTTTTCTCCCCGTCCAATTTTTCACTGAAAATCCAAACAATTACCCGTAGCAGCCCAGAGAGAGCCACAGTTGGCCTTTTAGAAAGCCCAGCCCGGTTGGAACAGTGAGCACAGCTGCGTGAACCTTACCTCCCCATTTTGTGCGCGAGTATCCCAAAGACGTTGGTTCCAATGAGATAAGAGACACTCGCCGGCAAGAAAGCGATGCCTGAAAGTTGATGAAAGGACACCATATCAGGCCTGATCTCAGCCACATGTTAGGAAAACTAATAATCGTCAGACACCACTGCGGTGATTACAGTGGATGAAATGAAGCCCCAGGCCAGCACCCAAGCAGCTAATATCCGGCGGCTGACTGATCCAGCCCGGACCCCACGTCGCTTATCCAGACGCACAAAGCTGCCGAGACACTCCAGAAAGGAAATTCGTTTATCTATCGGCCACTTCATCTCCCTTCAGCCCTGCCCGGGGCCAGTTCTCCACCTGGCCTGGCCAGCGCCAGCTCCCGGCACGGGGCCTCGGTGACCTCACACGCGCCAGCAAGTCGGGTGGTTTCTGCGTTGGTCCTTGCTACCTGACCTTATCTCACACGACAGACGTCAGACACAGGCACTGACACAATTAGCGAACATTAAGATAAGCACACACACACGTTAAAAATCATCCCTAACAATCAAGTTATCCCTCTTTCTAGACAGAAGTAAATCTGCCTGCCTGGGACCAGACTTTTGTGCTCAGCTTCCACCCAAACAGGAACCATACCTGCTATTCTATTTTGCACTGTGTAGCTTTTTCCACTTTACAAATCCCTAATGATTTTTTTTTTGGAAAAAAAAAAAAGGATGATTTCCGGTCAGGTCTGTGACTAACTCAGGTGACCAGCTTCACTGAGTCTAAGGCTTAAAGCCCTTCAGGAGCAAGAGATGCAGCTCTGGTCAAACTGAGCTGACCTTTGACCACATCCTCAGCATCAAACGACCCACTCACATCTGGCCAGCCCGGCTGTCAGGGCCTTTGTTCACATTGGTGCTCTGGTCCCCACTCAAGACTAAGACCCCAGGACAGTCAGTTATCTCAGTCCACTCTTTTCTGAGTTTCTTTCCATCTGAGGCATTAGATTACTTCCGATGTCTTGTCCACCAAACCCATCGTCCGAGCCGCTTTGGGTTTGATTTGCGATAACAGAGGGGCCAGAGAGGGAAATCCCACCGGTTCCAGCGTTCTGAGCCGGCACCCAAAACACGCTGTCTCTGAAGACATGTGACCAAGCCAGGGCGGGCGAGTCAGACTTCGGGGAAAGAATTCGTACCGTAGCCTGCCAGGAACACACAGATCAAACCGGAAAGACAAGCGTTCCACAGAACCGTGGGCAAAGTCATTCATAAGAAACGCACTGATTCTTTTTAGATAAACTTGAGTCTTGACTTCCTCCAACTGTACTTTGCTTCTTCTAAAATATCAAGCATGTGGGGCTGGAGTGATAGTATAGGGGGTAGGGTGTTTGCCTTGCATGGGGCCAACCCGGGTTCTATTCCCATCATCCCATATGGTCCCCTGAGCACCGCCAGGAGGAATTCCTGAGTGCAGAGCCAGGAGTAACCCCTGAGCATTGCCGGGTGTGATCCAAAAAGCTAAAAGAAAAATAAAAAGAAAAATAAATAATAAATAAAATAATAAGCATGTTCTACTTGGTACATTGACGATGCTTTCAAAAGGACAGTGCTTGCCATAGTGACAGGCGAGGGGAGGGTGTCTGGAGGGAAACTGGGGACCTTGGTGGTGGGAAATGTACACTGGTGGAGAAATGGGTGTTGGAACACTGTATGACTGAAACCTGACTAAAATATATAAAATAATAATAATAAAATTTTTAAATGCTTTCCAAAAACCCATCCTCTTCAAAACCAGGTTCATGGGCTGGTCTTTCCCATGACCCTCCCTGCCGTGTCCATGAGGAACGCGGCTAATCTATTCCCAGCCTTCATCACCATGATGTGACGTCACTTTCCCTCTGCTAAGAGGTCTCTGAGGCCACCAACTCTGCACCCATCGGGAAGTTCAAATGCAAGAGCCCACGCACAGGAGGACCCCACTCACTGCTCCTTGGAAACGGACTCAAATATTCCAATCCCAAGAGGAACCATCACCGTATCACCGGCTCTACCAGAGCAAGGATGACAGAAGCCACCGAGGAACCCATGCTGTAGAGTGAGAACAGCCCTCCGCCCTACCCCTGGGCTCACCCAGCTGCCACTTGCGGGCACACATGGTCTCCATCATCCAGATGGGGAGGGCCGGCTCCAGCATGGCGATGCCCATGTTGGCGAAGCAGATGGAGCCTGCAAAGGAAAGGGGTTCGGGTCTGTCTGTCAGGGACTCCCCAGCCCACCCCGCCCCTTTGAACACAGTGATGTGCCTGTAACCACGGGTATTCCCCAAACCCACATGAAAACCTCAAACGTCTGCTATTGAAAGAAAAATAAGGAGGACCAGGGAGGGCATTCAAAGGGCACAGGATTGGCATGCAGTAGCCCAAGGTTTGCTCCCCCAGACCCCATGGTCCCCAGTACTCCAGACAGCACACTCTTAGCACTGCTCCCCAAAGATAATGAGTCAAGGGGCTAGGAGGAAGGTTGGTTTAATATCATCCCTGCCACCACCACCATCTCATCAGGACTATGACTCGAATGTCAGAGTCCAGATGGTTAGACGTCAAGGGATCCTTAGGGGTGCTATGGTTTAACACCCCAGTTTATCAGTGAAGAGTCGCAAGATGCTTAACCCCCCACCCCCACCCCAGCAGAGTGCACTTCCAAGCCCCACCGGGTCCGGCTCATGCCTCATCACAGCTGCTCCCAGGGAGCCCACTGAGCTTGGGACACCTGTGCCCCAGGGTTCTGGGCCAGTGGCACCAGCCGAGCCCCTGCGGGTCAGTTTAACAGCCATCGCCAAGAAGCTCCGAGGCTCAGGAAGCTGAAGGGTCGCCCTGGTGCTCCTGGGGGCCTCAGGGACTTTCTGGGCTCTGGCTCTGGGGAACCTCTAATGGCTCCAATCCCGATTCAAAGAACACTGCACCCTGATGGTGAAGGTGCTCGCATGATGCAGAAAGACCGTTTACTCTGTCCCACGGATTTCACAGTGGATGAACCCTCCCCTGCCCCCCATCCAACATCGGTTCCCTTAATTTTGCTAATTCGCCTACTGGGAGCCGAACTCCAGCTCAGGGGCTTACATCCGAGCCCCTAACTCTCACACTGAGTCGGAATGGAATGACCGAAGCTTCAATCCCCTCCATGGGGAGCTCCACTTTCTCCTGCAAGAACCCCAGGATTTCCTCAGGGTCCATCCAGACTGAGAGCTTCCCCAAATGCCATCTTCAGTGGAAGGGAGTTTCAGGAACACTTCTGGGAAGTGGGGAGCCCCTGCGGTCAGGCCCTATTCACACCTCCTCATGGCCATCACACTGTCCCCCTGGAGGGGCGAGCAACCATGGTCTTCCACACAACCAGCAGGAGAAAACCCGGTCCCAAACCAGTCTGGGGCAGCGTGTCCCGGGGACCCCGGTGTCTCAACCCTCCGCGCCCCCCCAAAAAAGTAAAGGGACTCAGCCGAGTGTGAGACATCAGGGATGGAAAAAAGCAGCTTCCTGGAGGTGACACCTTTGCTGTCCGAGTCTCCCAGTGCGCCCCTTCCTCAAACCACCCTCCCCCGCCTGCAGTGCACCCCTCCACGCCCCTGCGCAGTTCCCCAGTCCATAGTGTGCCCCTCTGAGCCCCTCCACGCTCCTCCCCCGCAGTCTCCCACAGTGCTCGCCCTCAGCGCCCCTCAGCAGCCCCCCCGCCTCTTGCACGCCCTCCACGCCCGCCCATCCCTTCCTGTGAGCGCCCTCCACGCCTCTACGGCAGCCCGGGTCCTCCCCGTGTACAACCTCCCCCCCCCCGCAGCCCGCCCCCTCCCCATGCACCCCCTCCCCGTGCGCGCACTCCAGGCCCCTCCTCCAGCACCAGCACGCAAGGCGGGCTTCAAGAAGGCACAGAGGGCGCGCACTAGGTGGGGTTTCACCTGCAGCGATGAGGATGTAGGGGTCCCTCAGCAGGGTGGTGAGTGGAGTCCCCTTCTGGCTCTGCCAAATGGAAATGGGGGTGAGAAGAGCGGAAGGGAGTTTCTGGGCCCTCTTCTGGGAAGTGGGGAGCCCCTGTGGTCAGACCCTGCTCACACCTCCCCTGGCCCATCAGATTGTCCCCCTCCAGGGCCGAGTAATGAAGGTCTTGGACACAGTCACTAGGAGAAAGCCCAGTTCCAACCAAACCCTCGACATCCACCCCCACCCTCTTTCCGCCGCTTACCTCCGGCTGCACCCGGGATGGCTGGAGCACCAGGAGCTGGATCACTGCGAGAGAAAAGGAGAGCGTGGCCCTGAGCCCTCAGCCCCTCGCTCCCAGAGACCACGACTAGGGAGGCCACGGCCACTGCGCCATCCACGTGGACTCACCTCCGTCCAAGAGCACCAGCGTCGCCAGCACCAGAAACGGGGCGGTCTTCCCCACAAACTCATAGAGCACGCTCCCGAAGGGGGGGCCCACTGCGGGGAGGAGATGGGGGACCCGGCTGGGTCTCAAAGAGCAAACCTGCCCCCTCACACCAGAACCTCCCAACGGGCACCCCCTCCCCCTTCCCGGGTCTCTGCTCCAAAGAAACATTTGGGAGTGGCCCCTCCACTCTGTGTGGTAAGATGAAGTTGCCCTTGCAGCCTTAGACCAGGGTGGGCATCTATTGGGGCACCCCAAAAGTAAAGGTCAAAGGCACTGCACTGGGCTCAGGAAGGGCCCCCCAATGCAGGCTTGAACTTGACAGAAAGGGAGGGGACCAAACCTCTGGGGAACAGGGCCGGGAGGGGGGGAAATGTTGGGAATTGGGCCAGGCCAGGTGTGGAGGCAAGCCCTTGGAAGCTACAGTTCAGGGAATGTTCTAGAAGACAGTATCTCAGCACACCATTTGTTCAAGCCTTCATTTTCCTGTTGGGCCCGGGGAAGGTTTGTTTGCAGTACATGGGGGTGGGGAAGAGTCAGGGGGTGTCCAGGTCCTCCTGGAACTGGAGCCCTCCCACTGTCTTTCACAGGCTCCATGAAAGGGCGGGGGGAACTAGGAGGGCCGGGAGGTGGGGCGCAGCGTTCCCCTCTCACCTAGGACCCCCATGGCCAGGCCTCCCAGGGCGACCCCCATGGCGTTGCCTCTCTCTTCATCATCTGTGTACACACTGGCCAGCATGCCCATGCCTGGACAGGAAGACAAACGGTGACCAAGGCAAGCTCGGAGAGTACCCAAGACTCACCCCTCGACTCTCCAGCCCCCCCCCACCCTGCCCGTATCCAAGAAACCTGAGAGCCAAAAATCACGCCCTCAAGTCCCTGAATGACTCCCCTCCCTGCGCCCTCCCTCGGGCGCCCCGTCTACCAGCCACGGACGAGCAGGAGGAGCCGATGCCCTGCAGTGCCCTGGCGATGAGCAGGAAGGCGTAGCTGCTGGAGAAGGCGAACACTGCAGGGGGAGCACAGAGCGGGCTGCTGACCCTCACACAGGCTCCCCAACGGCCCCCCCTCGAGTGAGCCTCACAGGGACCAACCTCCCCCCCGGCCCCCCTCCCCCCCACCCGGCCGCACTCGCCCCAAAGCAATCAGGCACTTACTGAGCGTGGAGACAAACATGATACAAAACCCTGCAAACATGGGGATGGGGTAGCCGATTCTGCAAGAGAGAAGGCGCGGAACTCAGCGGCCGCCTCTGTTTGCTCACGGCTCACACCGCCCACCCTGGGGACCCAGCAGACGGACGGACTAGCTGCAGCCACCGGGTGGAGGATTCATCCCGGCCGCTGCTTCCTGCCTGACCTTTGTGTGTTTGCCCATCTCGGATGCATGTGGAGCTCATCGCCCTGAACCGAGGCTTCCCTGGCCGCGATACTGGCAGGCAGCCTTTCAGGAGCGGCTCTGTCCCCAAAGAGATCATGGCCAGGAGAGGCTGTAGCAAGAGACCAGGGCGGTACCAGGGCGACCTCAGGCCTGATGCCCAGTCCTGCCCTGCCACTCTACCCCACCCACAAAGAGACCCCTGTCCGTCCCAGGAGCGCAGGATGGGAGACTAGATGTTAAACCTGAGCCAGAGCATGGAAGGGACCCCAGAAAGTGGGGTCCTCCCCCTCTGTTTCTTCGCTCTACCCTCTTTGGGTTGGGCAGGCAGCTGAGGTCGGAGCAGGGCAGTTTCCTGGTCCCTGCCCTGAGGGTGTCAGCACAGGTGGTCACCTGAGAGGCAGGAACCAGGGGGAACCCCAGGCCTCTTCTTCCCGTCTCTCTGTGCCCCAGGATTCTGGCCAAGAACCAAACGAGACCCAGAAAGTGGAAGGAGAGGGAGCCCCAAACCCCGACACTCAGCCTGAAGGGGCCCTTCCGGTGCAGGCAGGTCTGAGTCGAACAGTCCCTTCACTGGAAGGTTTGCTTCAGTCCCCAGACGCTGGCACTAATCAGTTCAGAGATTGGAGAAGGGTTAAGGGCGGCCAATCTATCTTCCTGGTGGCAGAAGGGGAAACTGAGGTCACGGTCCCCTGTCCTGGGGCTGATTCCACTTGGGGCTGTTCTGCCTGGTCCAGTGCTTGGCCTGGCAAGTTGGCATCCTCCCAGCTGGCTTCAGTGAAAACCTTTCCAAAAGTTCTCTCTCGTTCTCCTGTCCTAACTTTCTTCTGGGTCTTCAGAACCAAAGACCAAAACTCCAGACAGATCTCAGAGGTGTATGGGAGGGGCTGAGAGACAACTCTGGGAAACAGAGGTCGCTTTTTTCTTCTTTCCACATATTCCACTGAGGTTCAGGGAACTTACGGGACAGGCCCCTAATTCAGAGTAACAGACTTATCTCGAAGGTCTAAGGTGTGCCACTTTGGTGGCAATGCCAGTCCCAGGAGAGACTGGGCAGGGATGAAAGGCAGTTTCTGTTCTAAGCTGCTGAGACCTGTGTGCTTATGGGTCTCTCTGACAAGACCAGGGGCTGTGCTTTAAAAAAACAAAAAAAGGGGCTGGAGTGATACTCAGCGGGTAGAGCATTTGCCTTGCATGCAGCTGACCCAGGTTCAATTCCCAGCATCCCATATGATCCCCTGAGCACCACCAGAGGTAATTCCTGAGTGCAGAGCCAGGAGTAACCCCTGTGCATTGCCGGGTGTGACCAAAAAAGAAAAAAAAAAGAAAATATATAAATTTAAAAAAAAAACTGTGGGGCTAGAGAGATGGCTTCATGAGCTGGAACAAGGGTTTTGCCTGCAGGAGAACTGGGTTCAATTCCTGGCACCACTCAATTCCCCAAGCATCACCAGGAGTGATCCCTGAGCACTGAATCAGGAGCAACCGCTGAGCATCACCAGGAATAGCCCAAAACAACAACAGCAACAACAACAACAAAAGCAGAAAACCACTGCTTGGGCCAGAGTGATAGCACAGCAGGAAAGGTGTTTGCCTTGCACGTGGCCGACCCGGATTCAGTCCCCGGCATCCCATATGGTCCCCCCAAGCACTGGCAGGAATAGTTCCTGAGTGCAGAGCCAGGAGTAACCCCTGAGCACCGCCAGGTGTCACCCAAGAAACAAAAAAATAAATAAAATAAAATAAATACCACTGCTTGTGGGGCCAAAGAGACAGTACAGCATGGAGAGGACACTTGTTGAACCAGGTTCAATCGCTGGCCCCCCTCCCCATACGCTCCCCCAGAATGGCCAGGAATAAGCCCTGAGCATAGTCCGTGTAGCCCGAAAACAAAACAAAAAGACACTCCTTGTGGCCCCTGTTCATTGCCTTTGGGATTCTGACCCAGCATGTCTGCATGTCTGATGAGGCCAGAGGCAGTGACAGATGGAAGCCCCAGGCTGACCGGAAATGGGGCAGCTCAGCCTCGTGCAGGGCGGGGTGGAGATGCTGGAGCATGGGCTGTGGCGGGGAGGGGGGGCGGGGGGGGGGGAAGGCTCTTGCTTTGCCTGGGGCCAATCCTGGTTCCAACTTCAGTACCCTGTGTGGTCTCCTGAGCACTGCCAGCAGGGATCCCTGACCACAAAGTCAGAAGTAAGCATCAGCACAGCCAGGTGTACCCCAAAAGTAAAAAGAAAGAAATGAATGAACAGAAAAGGAAGGAAGGAAGGAAGGAAGGAAGGAAGGAAGGAAGGAAGGAAGGAAAGGAGGGAGGGAGGGAGGGAGGGAGGGAGGGAGGGAGGGAGGGAGGGGGAGAAGAAAAGAGGAAGGAAGGATGGGTAGGAAGGATGGGTAGGAAGGAGGGAGGGAGGGAGGGAGAGAAGGAAGGAAGGAAGGAAGGAAGGAAGGAAGGAAGGAAGGAAGGAAGGAAGGAGAAACGGAGGGACAGAAGGAAGGAAGAAAGGAAGGGAGGGAGGGAGGGAGGGAAGGAAGAAAGGGAGGGAGGGAGGGAGGAGGGAAGAGGGAGGGAGGAAGGAGGGAGGGAGGGAGGGAGAAATGGAGGGAGGGAGGGAAGAGGGAGGGAGGGAGGGAGGGAAGGAAGGAAGGAAGGAAGGAAGGAAGGAAGGAAGGAAGGAAGGAAGGAAGGCAAGCGAACAAACTGGAGTGCCCCTAACACCACCTCCTGCCCTCCCAGGACACGTGTGCCCATCATGTTTACCACTGCCCAAGCTGGGAGTTATGGGGGGTGGGTAGGTGGGAGGGGTGGGCACAGCTTCTCAAAGGCAAATGCTGGGGGTCTTCTTCCCCAGCCCCCAGCAGGCGGCACACTGAGAACCCTTTGGGCTTCCTCCACCTTCTCTAGCTCCTGACCGCCCACCCTAGAGTAGTGGTCAGCTGCAGCAAGACAGGGCCACCAGATGTGAGCTGAATGTGCTGGACCACGTCCCCGAGATAGATGAAAGGTGGCTGACATTTGTCAGAAACATCCGGTGGCCTGTGTCTCCACCGACTGCCATCTCAACGAACACTCTGCCCAGCAGAGCCCGATCTGATGTGATGAACCGTTAACCCAATATCCCCACATATTCCGTCCCCAGCCCTGTGAGTCAGCCTGGGCCCGCGGGCATCACGGCCGAGCCCGGGGAACAGCTAACTCAGTTGGAACAGGCGGAAGTGGTAATGCTGGATTCCTAGAAAAGAATACAGGGCAGCCACCATGCCTGCCTGCTGTGTGCCTGCTCCGTGGTGGAGAAGCCCTGGGCCCCGCATCACCACTGACAACCGAATCCCTCTCTCTCTCTCTCTAATGCTCATGAGGCCTTTCAAACTTCCCCGGAGGACCCGAAGCAAGAGCTATTCTCAGGTTTGCTGAGACCTGGTCACCTCTACAGCGGCTGTCACCAAAGCAAGGATGCAGGGAGAGGCAGGAAGGGTGCAAACTGCCACAGAGGAGAGAAGAGGTGAAGCTCCCGCCTCTCAATGACTTCAACCCGCTTCTCAGAGAGAAGACGGTCCAGTAAACAGAAAAGGATGCTTTCAACCGACCACGCAAGCAAGGACGTTTATTGTCGCTCCTCTTGTAATAAAACCAAGCCCTCAGGGTCAGTGGTGGGGAGCTCTCCTTCTGCTCCCCTGTCTGCTGGGAGTTATGGGGGGGGTAGGTGGGAGGGGTGGGCACAGCTTCTCTGCCTGAGAAGTCGCCCCCTCTCTGCCGCACAGCTCAAGGGGGAGAAACGCTCCCAGCCTCCAGCCTCAGTGTCCACCCCAAGGAGCTGCTTTTCCTGTCCACAGAGAAGCTGAAAAGGTCACTGCTTATTGGACAGAGCCCACTGCAGAAACAGCCTGCCGGAGCGGCCATGAGAGATGGGGTCGAGATTGCCTGCCCTCTGACTTCCTCCGCCTCATGCAGATGCGGGTGAAGACTTGTGAGGAAAAATAACTGCCTTTCACATGTACTAGGTAACTATGGAAATAAATTAAGCCACTGATACTGGCTTGATAAAAAGCAGACCACAGAGACAATGACAAGCTAAGGAGGAAGCAGAGCAGGCCCCAGAGGCCAGGGTTAACCCTTTCCCCGACCGTCCCGCTGGCCAAGACGCACTGTGGACGCAGTGGGCACCGCCAGGCAAGCTCTGTGTGAAGCAAATGCCACATTCTATCTTTGGGTGGGGATGCGTCTCCCAAGCAGTGCTCAGATTCTGCAATGCAGCGAAGCCCGGGTTCAGCAGTGTGGGGGTCACCAGAGTCACACTCAGGAGTGTTCCAGGGGCCTCTAGGACTATCCGTATCAGTGCTGGGTGGGGTCATGAATTGCTGAGGATCGAACTCAGGGCCTCATGCAGTTCCAACCTTCTGCACTGCCTCACCAGCCCAAGGCTGCCACATCAGAACCCCATAGGAAGGAGAGGCCAACGGCGTTTTCACTGTTTATCTGCCCAAAGATTCCTTTTCTCTGTATCTCCCCAAAATTCATTTCCTGGGCCAAAGGATACAAGTGACACTAATGTCATCTCCACCCCAACCCCAACACACAACTGCAACCAGGAAATGAATGGTTACACTGGAACAGAAAATAAGCCACACAGCCTCAAAGCTGAAAATCGCGTCAGGCAAAGCACAAGACGATCCCTTTAGGGGCTCTGATCTCTGAGCCAGAAACATCATCACCATGCTTACCTAGAATGAAGAACTTTCGCTCCCTACCTGGTCACATCCTTTTCAGTTTAATAATAACATTATTTAAAATAATAATATTCATAATAAAACATTAGCCCGGCAAGCTACAGAGAGTATTCGATATGCCAAACACAGTAACAACGAAGTCTCCAATGGAGACGTTACTGGGCCCGTTCGAGCAAATCGACGATCAACGGGAGGGCCTTTACCTTACCTTTACCTATTATATATTAATAATAAAATAATATTCAGTTTAAATAAAAATTTAAAAGTGAACTGCGTAAGAATACATTTATTCTTAACTTTTTTTTTTTGCTTTTTGGGTCACACCCGGCAATGCACAGGGGTTACTCCTGGCTCATGCACTCAAGAATTACTCCTGGCGGTGCTCGGGGGACCATATGGGATGCTGGGAATCGAACCCGGGTTGGCCGCATGCAAGGCAAATGCCCTACCCGCTGTGCTATCGCTCCAGCCCCTATTCTTAACATTTGAAGAATAATGTTAAGAATTTTAACACTTCATTAACAATTGCAAGCTGGAGAGAGAATCCAGCAGGTAGCCTTGCACACAGCCAACCCGGGATAGCCACATGGTCCCCCAAGCCCTGCCAGAAGTGATTCCTGAGCACAGAGCCAGGAATAATCCCTGAGCATCACCAATATGGCCCCCAAACAAACAGCAAACCAAAAAAAAAAAAAAGAATAAATGAAGCAGGAGTCCCTTCCACCCATCCATGCAACCAAGTGAGCACTCAGACACTTCCCCAGAGCTATTTTTTGTTCAGGATCTAGCACGAGATCCCACACAAGATTTCAAACCACACACAAGTGCTTCTCTATAATCAGAGATGCTGCAGAGACAGGAAGCCAGGCCAGGGAGGTGAAGGATGGGCTGACTGATCCCCAGATCAGGCTGACTTCCCCCCCAACCCCCCCCCCCCATCCAATTCCTCAAACACAAATTAAAAATAGCAAACAGCTTCGACGCGTGGCACTTTACTAGCTCTGCGTAGTACAATCTGAAACGACCCAAGGAGAAGCAAGAAAGGCAGTAGCTGCTGGCTGCATGGCAGTCGGTTGTGGGTGAGAACAAAAAGCTGGGGAAGGGAAGAACTGGCCACGGCTGGCCACTGGCTTCAGTCCTGCCACAGCTGAGACAAAAGGTCCTCTCCTCCTGAGCACTGGAGACTCTTCCTTTGCCTGCAAAACTACCAGGACCAGCCGGCCAGCCAGGATCCGAGTCAGTGGAGCTCTGATGCTCCATTCTAATAATTCTTTAATCAGAAACATATAGCCAACTGTAAACACTGCTTCATTACCCCAGTGGGCAGAGCCCTCCAGGGCTAGGGTTTTAACTACTCTTTGATGAGAAACATTCGAATCCACTGTAACACGCCGCCGTTTTCTAAAACACACTTGTTTACAACGCAGAAACCGTGAGTCACACAGCTTGTCGGTAATTGAGGATGTGATTGGCACAAATTACATCAAAGGACTATTCGAAGGGGAAGATTCTGTAAGGGGAACGGGGACACATTTATCGCTTCTCTGAGCAGAGCTGTAGAGAGCTCAGAATTGCTGCCAGGTTCCAAATTTATGTCTACGGGGCTTGGAAAATAGTAGAAAAGGGACCACTCAATCGTTTTTGAAGGACCAGAGTTGGCGTGTTGGTCCCACCCACAGCAACATTAACAAAGAGCTTGCCTGCTCACCTTCTAAGGCAGAGCTAGGAAACAAGGATTGATTTTGAAACTTAACGAGAAGACCCATTAGGGATTCAAATTTCACTCTACATAACCAATAGAGAACCAAAGTGGACAATTCACCAAGCAAATCGAGTGAACTGTCACAGGTCACGAATCACAAATCTCATAGCAGACAAATTTTGAAAGCTTCAAAACGAGTTTTGAGTCACTGTAGTGTGAAAACTTTGAAAATTTTAATAGGAAAAGAAAGGTCTCATTGGATTTTGCTGCTTCTCCCCCACCGGGGTAAGATAAGCATTAATACCTCTAAGATGGGGGGGCTTAAAGAGTTTTCCCATGGGTCATTCACCTGTGGGAAAAGGGAACAGTTGCATCTTTTCGGCTGAGGCCCTTCCCACAGAGCCAGGAGTACTGGCGCCCCGGTGACTTGCTTGGACAATTCACCAAGCAAATCACTGAGGCTTCATCATTACAGTAGGGACCTCAATTTTCTCAGATAATGTTTAACTTGTTTGCTTTCTCCGAACACAAACCCTACGCCCTTTCTGCAATTATACCAAGCGTGTATTACAACACAGTCTTTCTAGAACAGAGAGCCTCTGAAGGTCACCCTGACCAGGGGTTTCCTTGGCAGCCCTGCTCCAGGTCCATCTGTGTATTTTATGGGACAGCCTTAGAGTCCTGGCGCGACGCAGACTAGAACAGCTTTTCTGACTGTGGCCCCCGTCCCACCCTGTTTCCTTCCTGTGGTCCTCTGCTCTCGTGCTGTGCTTCTCCCTGTTTATGCAATTTTCACCTGTGGCCCCCATGGAATATTCTAGAGGCCCACTAGGAGGGCGGGGCGGGATTGCAATGGTTAACCTTGAATCAGTGGCATTAACCAACCCAGAGAGCCCAACTGCAGATGGTTTAGAACTCCGGCACCCAAGCACCCAAGCACCCGGCAGAGCTGGAGCAGGGCACCATAGGACCCCAGGGTTCCCTGTCAGAACCCCGGCCACTCCCCTCCCCGAAAATCTTCCCCATAATTTACACAGCTGTTCCTGCTCACCCTTCCCTTGCCTGAACCCTGGTCTCGCTGCTCCTCAGGATCCCAGAACAAAGCCCTCCTCTTTGATTCAAGCTTCAGGGTCCCTTTACTCATCTCCCAGCCCTTCCTCCTCCATTCTCGCTCCTTTCTGGTTCCTGCCGTGCTTCCAGGCCTGGCTCCCAGAGATTCGGGACCCCTCCCACCACGTTTACAGACCCCTCACCTCCTCCTGCCTCCCCCAGCTCCCTCTCAGCAGCTGTCATCTCCTCCCACTGCTGCAAGCCCTGGTCCCTTGCTTTCAGATTCCCTGGTCCAGGCTGAGTTGGGAGGAAAACAGTAGCTCAGGGATGTGGCTCACACTTTCCAGGGGGTTGGCCCCTGGAACCACAGGGCCCCTGAATACCACCGAGGGTGACCCCTGCCCAGCACCCAGCTGGGATTAGTTGAAAAGGAAGGAGGGAGGGAGGGAGGGAGGGAGGGAGGAAGGAAGGAAGGAAGGAAGGAAGGAAGGAAGGAAGGAAGGAAAGAAGGAAGGAAGGAAGAGATAAAGAGAGAAATAAAGAACGATTGAATGAATGAACGCAGGAAGCACATCAACACCGGCCATGTAACACTTATTCAAACTAACATGAGTCCGAAAATGTTTTGGGCCTCCAGATAAAGACAATGCTAGTTGGGGCAGCTGGAATTCCCTAGAAATCAGCCTCAGAGATGTACAAGGAGAGATCCTTGTGCATGCTGAGCTCGCGTGTCTGTCTACTCCCACCTTGGCCTGGTCAGTGGCCCCCTGGACAGGAACTGCAATCAGAAGGGCGAGTGCAGGGCCTGACCCCGCCAGTCTGACCAGGAGGTGAAAGCAGGGACTATCTAGAAACGATTATGAGCCGCAGGGGGGAGGGGGCAGAGGTGGGATCCCACCCCACCCCCCGCCCGTTTCTCTGCAAAATGGATGAGAACAGAGACTCAGGGGCAGTGAGTTTGGAACCGAGTTGTTGCAAGAGCCTTTGAGCAAACCCCGCGGCCCACCTGTTGGTCAGGAGCCCTACGAAGGGGTTGGTGAGCAGCTGGACGGTGGCCTTGGATGCGAACAGCAGGCCCACTTGCACATTTTCATTCAGGAGGTCTTTGTCTTCGCTCGGGCAGTCGGAAGGGGCAGCAGACCGGTTAGTGACCATGTGCTGCGTGGTGGCCCTGGGCGGTGGTGGCCCACCTGGATGGCTTCCGGTGCCGTTGCCCGTGACCATGATGGAGTTGTCATAATAGGAGAAGATGTTCTGGAAGCTGCCCGTGGTGGTGGTGGTGGTGGCCGGGAGCGCCGGCCTGGGGGTCTGCACTTCCGTGGCGTTCTTCTCATGCTTGATGCTGTACAAGTAACTCGGGATGATGGGGACTGGGGACAGAGCAGAACGGGGAGGTGGCCAGCCACATCACGGCCAGGGCCCACGCTAAAGGAGTCCCAGTGGCTGGCTCCGCAGCCCAGGAACGGGCACCCGAGTGGGCAAGAGAAGAGCCCCAGGTCTGTGGGAGTTCCCGAGATTCCTCCCAGAACGGGGATGTCCTGGGGGTGTCTCCTGGCAGAGCTCCTGGTGGGAACATTTCAGGAAAGGGATCTGAAGTCCCATCAGCCAGCCAGTGTGTCTCAGAAGAGGCTCCAAAGCCTTTGAAACAAATGAATCAAGGAGGGAGAGTTGCGGGGGGCGGGGGCGATGGTCTTAGGGGAACAATCCACTAAGGCAATCCCCAGAAGAGGCAGGAATCCTGAATTTCTGCAACTGAACCACTTTGTCATTCTGTTACCTGAAGGGGAATCTGAAATTTTCCTTACAGCCCGGGAGATTCCAGAAATTTCTGAGACTTTCGTAAGGAAAAAGAAAAATTGATGTACATGTATTGGGTAGACGCTGGGAGTGTACAGAGGGTTCAGCCAGAGGAAGGCCTGAGTTAGGAGCTTGGAGGACACCGGTTCTGGCATTCCCTGAAGTGAAAATCAACTCAGAGGGCCGGGAAGTGCCCCCCACCGCCCCTCCCACTCCCCAGCCCTAAGTCAGGGGCAGTCCCTGAGCACTGCTGAGTGTGAACACCCCTCCCGGAAAAAAAAATGAAAGAAAAGAGAAAATGAAGCAGAAATAAATAGCTCTGAGGTGCTCAAAAAAACTGCTGTGAGAACCTGCGGGTCTAAAGTGAAAAACCACTTCTGATTCATTCAAGTTGAGGGTTTGGGTTCGTCTTGGTGTTTTGTTTGTTTTTAGTGGGAAAGTGTGCAAAGACTGTGCTGCTAATGAGGAGAGATGGATTCCAGTTATTTCATTTTTCAAAACTCCCTCAGAAATGCAGCCCCACACAATCGGCTTGGGGAAGGTCCACTGCAGGCGCCCGAGAGCGCCCCCCGCAGGCGGGGTCTGGAGCTGCACCCTAGGAGGCCTCTCCCAAGGAAGCCCCTTTTCTGGGAGTCGGAATAATGACCTTGACATTATTCCCCAAACCCGAGCTGCTTCTTCAACGAATCCGTCGTAGTGGCAGCACAGTAGGAAGGGGAAGCAGGAAATTATCAGAAGGAAACACACGCCCTGCATCTTATCGGATGTCAATTTTCAGATCCGACCACCAGGAAAATGAACCCACAAACTGCTGCCACTAGCCCGGGCCGGCAGTCTTGGGGACTGTGTGTGTGTGTGTGTGTGTGTGTGTGCACGCGTGCGTGTGTGTGTATGCATGTGTGTGTGCGCGCACTCGCACGTATGTGTGCGTATATGTATGTGCGTGCGTGTAAGCATGTGTGTCTACGTGTATGCATGTGTGTGCGTGTATGTGTGTGCGCGCGCGCATGGGCGCGTGTATGTGTGGGCGTGCGTGTGTATGCGTATGTGTACGTGTGTGCGTGTATGTGTGCGTGTGTATGAGTCTTGTGTGCAGACGTGTGCATGTGTACGCGTGTATGCGTGTGTATGAGTGTATGCGCGCGTTTGTGTGCGTGTGTGTGCGCACGGGCAATTTGGGGCGAAGCCTATTCAACTTTTCCAGGTGGGCGCGCGCGACGAGGAGCGCTCGGGAAAACGGGGGGGGGGCGCGCCCCCGACAGGGGACGCGGAAAAGGGGGGTGTCTTTCCCGGCCGTACGTACCCACGACGGTGAGCAGCATGTTGTCCAGCAGCAGCGCGAGGAACACGATGAAGAGGATGAGCTTCCGCGAGTGGCGACTCTCCTGCAGCCAGCGCAGCGGCGCCAGCTCGCTCAGGGCCATGGCTGGGGGCTCGGCTGCGGGCGCAGCGCGGGTGAGGGGCCGGGTCGGGCGCGTCCCTGCACCCCGCAACCTCAGACCGCCGAGGCGCGGGGAGCGAGACGCGCGCCCGGGCGTGCCCGACCGTCCCGGGTCCCCGAGCGCGTCGCCACCAGCCCGGGCGCCCGGAGGAAACGCGTCCGAGCGCCGTCGGGGCCGACCCGGGGACCCGCCCGTCCGTCCCCGTCCGTCCCCGTCCGTCCCCGTCCGTCCCCGCCCGTCCCCGCCCGAACCCGCGCCGCCCCGCGCCCAGCCCGTGCCGAGGGACCCCGCGCGCTAGGAGCTCTCTGAGGGGAACCCCGGCGAACCCCCCTCTCGACCCCCGCGCCGTCCGTGCCCTGCCGGCAGCCAGCGGGGTCCCGTTACCTGGGGGTCGCGGGCGCTGCCTGCCCCGCCGCCGCGAGCTCCGTCTGGCCGCCCCGCGCTCCGCTCGCCGTCTCGCCCCCGCCCCGCCGCCGCCGCTCAGTTTACCCGCTCCGGCTCTGACGTCACGGCCGAGGGGCGGGGGGCCGAAGAGGAGGGGGGGCAGGTCTCGGGCTGTCCCACCCCGGCCCCGCCCCGCACCCGAACCCCGAGTCTCCGGGTCCCCTGTAGCCTGGAGCGCACGACCTGGCCCGCCCCGGGGTGCAGAGCGCGGGGTGAAACCCAGACGTCCAGGCAAGGGAGCAGCGTCCCTGGACGGGACTCGGGGAGATGGTGGAGCGGGCAACCCAGGGAAGAAGCGGAACCCAGCGTTGTCCTTCGACCCGACCGCAAGTCGTCGGGACCAGGCTGCTCCTTCCGTCTCTGTGGCTGAAACCCACCCACAGGCCGGGCTAGCGAGCAGGTGAGTGTGCCCGGGAGATGGGGACTGTCTGTCGGGCAGCTCTCTCTCTCTCCTGCGGCCACTCCCCAACCCCCTTCGCATCTCTGGAGCCTAAAGCAGGTGCCCTCCTACCCCAGAGCCTCATCCTGGGTCCCCTGGAACAGAGATGGGAATGGGGGGAGGGCGTCTCTCAGAATCTCCCCGTGGTGGGCGGTAGGGGTGCAGAGCCCTACACTCTGCAGTCGGGACTCAGAAAGAAGCACTTTGAGCACTTCGAGCCTGGACCTGGGGACCCTGGGAACTTGGTCACCATCCAGGGACCCACCTGGGGAGAGGCAGAGCCAGCTCAAGGGCGGCCTGTGGTATCACTCACACCCAGCACTGCCTGATATGGCCCTGGTGCAACACCCATACCCCCACCCATACCCCCCTGCAATGTCTCTTTGGAGAAACAAAAGACAGACGGGTGCCTACTGGAGGCTGATCCAGAGCTGAAACCCTCCCTTTGGCAGGCTCAGAGCTCCTTCCCGGCCCTTTAGATGAGGAGAAGCAGCAGCCATGCTTTGTGCTTCCTGCCGGGGAGCAAGAGCCATCTAAAGCCACTCCGAGGAGCTGTTCTGCACGGCAGAGTCCAGCCGTGTTTAATTCATGTTGTCTTGCTGCTCAGCCGAGACGGCTGAGAGCTTCCCGCTGATAGGAAGGGCTTCCCGCACCCAACTCCCACCCCAGACCCCTCTGTGCCCGCGGTCGCTGCCCCTGCTGTGAGACGGATGGTTGGGTACACAAGTAGGTCAGAGCCTCCATCGTGGACTCACTGGGGAAGCCAGAGCTTGTGTATGAAGCGGTGTGGCCAGAAGGATGCCACCTGGGCTGGGAGCAGATGGCGGGTGTGCCATGTGGGGAAGGGGACCACAGCCCCTGAGTGTCCCCAAGGGTCCATTCTCAAAACCAGAAGTCTTGAGGCCTTCCCCGGTGTGTCGGGGCACTGTGGTCGAGGCCTGCCTTCCACCCCCAGTCTGCTACTTCTTCCGTCACTAACCATGTGCCAGTTATGGATCGATCGTGGGTGCCTTGGTTTCTCCAGCCCTGCAATAGGGGTACTGAGCACCCAGAAGAAATACTCCGGTGCTGGGCACAGCACGCCAGTCGTTCATCCCAACAAACGGAAACAAATCAAACCAACGCTGGGCTGGAGCTCTGAAACGCAAATAATGGGTCAGAGCCGAGAAGAGCAAAGACCGGAAGAGACACAAATGATACAGCAGCTGACGTGTCGCAGGGAAGGAGGCGGGGAGCCAGGCGGCCAGTTTCTGGGAAGGGAAACTCAGATGCTTCAAGCTCAGGGAGAGACCGTGTGTGAGAGGCGGGAAATGCCCAGGAAATGGACTGTGCCACAGTGCACAGCTCACAGGGAAGTGAGCAAGCGTCACAGGTGGGTAACACTGGCAAAAAGTGGGGTTGGCTTCTGGGGGTGCTGTGGGCAGCGGGCTTGTTGGAGAGCAATCCAGCCGGCATGAACCCCCAATTGTGCCTGCAGGTGTCGGCTCTCCCCACTGGTGTCTGGGGACAAGGACAGGCAGCCCCACCACAGTGGGAGTGGAAGGGGAATTTGTTCCATCCCCAGGGATCCGTGAGGCATCTCGGGGTGGAGCACCAGTGGGGCCATTGGCAAGGACACTCAGACCCCCCGCGTGGTCCTGTCCAGGTCCTGTGCGAAAGGAGAAGCAGAGCAGAGCAGACTCCATGCTGTGGGCAGCGGGCACCTGAGGCCAGTCCACTCTGAGGAGCTCCCTGGCCCGGTTTGTATTGAACATGTGGAACTTCCTGTCTTTCTGGGATCCAAGCGCAGGACTGGTGACATGAGACCAGAAGGCGGGGAAGAAATAAACCAAGAAACAGTCTTGCAAGGACCCACCGGTGCCCACTGGTAGATGGCTGAGAAAGGCAAATACTGCAGGATTTTGCTTTCTTACAGAAGAAAACCAAAGGAAAGGAAATGAGAATTGGCGGGTACTAGGCGCCGGGGTGGGGGCGGTTTAATCAGAATTCCAAACTCGTAAGATGAGCCGGATCATCTCCGAGTCAGTACACAGTGCGGTGGGGAAGCTAATAATACTGTGCTGGATAGCTCTGGGTGCTGGAAGGAGGTGCTTTTAGAAGGCTCACCCCCAAAAAGGAAAAGGTGCCGAAGTGATGGTAAGGTGTTAATGGTGGTGATCATTTTGCAACAGATAAATGCATTGTTATGGAGATGTAGCAAATCTATGTATTACCCACCCAAAAGGTGCATGATGTTATCAGGTTATATTGCAATAAAGCCGGGGATTCTAGACATACAAGGGTTCAGACTCCGAAGTCCGCTCGTTTGAAGCTCGAACAATGTATCCATAGTGACAGCAAACACAGTATTTCCTTTGGCTTGGAATAGGGAGAGAAAAAGAGCAAAGGAATAGAATAGAATGGGTGGGGGGAGCTGAAGGTATTTTTCTTTGATTTAGGGACGAATTGGATGGAGATACCGTGAGCGAGCTCCGAGAGCTAGGAATGTGAGCCTGGCTTGCTGAGGCACTGGGTTCGAGTCTCAGCAGCTCTGCTCCCTAAGCACTGTCAGGGAGTCCCGGGGCGGGGGTCCCCAATCTGCCTAGGGCCAAGCAGCTTAGGCTGAATATTGCTTGAAGAATCACTTAGGAGACAACCCCCCCAAATAATAATTCCATAACCAAAATTCACATAACTTAAGTATGTTTATTTACTTTATATAAATGATATATTATTAATGTTGATTTAAAGTAGATTTGTTTTTTTGTTTGTTTGTTTTTTGGGGGGTCACACCCGGCAATGCACAGGGATTACTCCTGGCTCTGCACTCAGGAATTACCCATGGCGGTGCTCAGGGGACCATATGGGATGCTGGGAATCAAACCTGGGTTGGTCATGTGCAAGGCAAATGCCCTACCTGCTGTGCTATTGCTCCAGCCCCCTTTATTTTTCTTTTTTTAACCATAGCTGTTGATGCTCAGGGGTTATTCCTGTCTCTGCACTCAGGAATTACTCCTGGCTGGACTTGGAGGACGGTATGAGATGCTGGGGATAGAACCTGGATGGGCCACGTGCAAGGCAAGCACCCTACCTACTACTGCTCTCGCCGAAACTGTTTTTCTTTTTCTTTTTTTTTTTTAATTAATGGACACTTTCACAGGATTAAAAGACAGAAGTTGCCAGATGATTTTTTTTTTTCATTCCAAGAAGGATGCTCTGAACACAGCTTGGTATGTCCCCCTCCAAAAAAATGAATGGACATCTATTAACAGAACTTTAGTACATATGAACCAAAAATAGAATTGATGGGACAGACAATTTTCCCCATCAGAGTTAGGAACTAGCATCCCACCCCTACCCCCTTCTCTAGAATCAATAGAACACTGTGACACTGTGACCAAAAAAAAAAAAATCTTTGGACATAGAAGATTCAAACTATGCATCAACTATAGTGGGTATTTATTAACCCTGAACAGTAAATGCCTCCAAACTCTTTCAGCTCTTTCCTGAGAGTCTCATTTAGCTAAGGAGTTGTTTGTCTGCTTTTCCCATGCACGCAGCCAGTTCTCTCCTCTGTTTAACAGGCATATACATATTGAGCTACAGCTTTTAATGCATCTCCTTTCCCTGCTTTGCTGAGTCCTATTGCAACAGGCAGGGCAAACAAACGTTTTCTGTATAAAATTGAACCAAATCTGCTGTTCTGGTTGGGAGAGGTCATGGTAAAAGGAATGTCAATTTACTTGAAGGATGCCTTGCCAATGAAATTAAGCCATAGATGTTCTAACTTAATAATTCAATCACCAAATTAGCTGGCTTCATGCAGCATTATCTGTAAAATGTGGGTCGCCAGGTTTGGCCACTTTAATAGAATCACTCGCCTGTCTGGGGACATTTGCTGTAATTGAAGTCTGCGGCAGAATCAGGCAGCCACGGAGAGCAGCGACTCAGCTTTGTGCCTTGATTGCTTCTTCAGCCTCACCTGCAGTTGCCTGGCTCTGAAATGACCCTGAAGGCCACTCAGCTTCCTGCAAGTCAACGAATGCATCCTCCTCACCCACAGCTCTCAACATCCACCCGGTCAAGCCGAGCCCTTGCCCATGCCCCCAGGACTCTGCTCTCTGGGGTCTTCATGTGTCCCGAGGCTCCCAAGCACGGCAGCTGAGGCTGGGAGCCTTGGGACACTTGCCACACTGGCCTCGGCGCAATTACTCTGTGACTTGTTAAACTGACAGTGCTGTGAGTCTGGAAGGCACCCCTAATGTGTGATAACTTAGTATATAAAAAATGCATACTGGCTCCGGAGATGGTTCAGCAGGTAAGGCGCTTGCTAATCTGGGCTCTGCCACATATGGTCCCGTGAGCACTGTCAGGAGTGAACCTTAAGGACAGAGCTAGGAGGAAACCCAGAGCACAACCAGGCATGGCCCCAAACCAAAGTAAACTTTCATCAACATTGTTCGTATGGACGTGCCAGGCAGACAATGTTGTAGATCAAGTTGCATCGAATATCCATCGTGACAATGAATGTCACCCTTGTGGCCCTTTGGCTCTTCTTCAGTGTGTCCACTGGACCATTTCAAGTGATGGGTAATGCTCATATGTGTGCCTCCCCTCCTTGGTTTCTATGGAGCAGCACCAGGACGG